TACATATACATATGTGTACATATATATGCACATATATATATATATGTATATGTATATGTATATGTATATGTATATGTATATACATGTTTATATGTATGTATATATATATACATATGTATGTATGTATGTATGTACAATGGAAATACATGTTTGTGCTCAGGATTAAACCAGAGTGTCTCGCAACTGTACCTGTTTGCATGTGTCAAGGATTTGAAATTGCACTTGGCAGTCATGTCCTTCATCCATGCCAATCTCATAGCCCAGGGTGGTGTTGGGTAGCTGTCACGGGGTGCAATCACTGCACACGCCGCAGCCAGGCTAGGACACGCAGGCTGTGCAAGGGGTTCCTAGCCAGAAATAGGGAGCATGGGGCTGTATTTTGTTTGCAGTCACCGTTCCTGCAGGACAAGGACCTACATGAAAAGCAGTGCAACACCATGTCGTTTCATATGGCAGCCAGGCCGCGCAACTCGAGATCACACATATGTGCGTGCCAGGCTGTTTCATCTCTTTTTGCTCCCTAGAGCCCTAGCCTTTCTCGCACGCATGGAGATGCAGCAACTAAAGGGAGCGCTGGCTGAGAACAAACGCAGCTGCCGGCTTCCACCAATTTGAACGCGACAGTGCTTTTGCGAGTATGGGTCGGAAGGTCCGCCAATAAATGGGTTGCCCGGTGGCGGCGGCGATGGCGGCTGCGCAGGGGTAAGCTACAAGATGCGGATCCCTGGACACTTTGCGCACCAGGGCTGGGCAAGTGGGCGGTTTTGCGGCCCCATTTTTGGGACCCTTGAGCGGGACAGAAACAGAGGCCGGAAGAAGTGGGGGCACACTTTTTGGGTGCCAGATTCTAGGCTCTGTTTTGGGGCCCCAAACCCTTCCCTCATCAAGGTTTAATCCCGTGCGTTTGGGTCCAGGTTCCTCTCCCACCTTCGCGCCAATGGCAGGTGACGGTGTTCTGGCTGACTGTAGCATATTTGAAACAGAAGCATGAGAGTAGCGGCAAGAAGGTGCTGTGACCAATATGCTCTACAGCCCAAAATGTCCTCGAGGATGCGTAGTTGCAAAGGGACAGTGGAAGGGCGAGCACCCCGCACACCCGCACAGGCGCTGCATTGGTCCAACCACTTGACGGCTTTGCTGTCGCAGCTTCCAAATTATGGCTGAAAAGAGAATACCAGCCAGGAACTGCGTCAAGCCGACCCTGACGGCCAACCTCAGCTCTGAGCATGGTTGTTCCACTTGAGCCATGCTGCCTGATTGTGGTTCGCAGAGCCGAAGTGGCAAGGTTCCTTTCATGGCATTGGTGCCTGGCTTCGCAGTTACGTTCCAGGCTTGCTCAAGTCATGAGCTACCCGCTTGTCCTGAGCCGGTGCAACCGAAGCCACTAGAGTTTGGGGTGGTGCGGCCAAAAAGGCGCAAGATGCGCTACGCTTAAGCGAGCTTGCTTGGATTGTGCCCTCGGAAGCGCACCAGCTGCCTGCAAGTAGACATTGAGATGCAACACAATATATATATATATGTATATATACATATGTATATATCTGTGTATATATATATATAATATATATATATATCTGTTTACATGCACATAGATAGATTGATTGAATGATTAGTAGATAGTAGATTAGATAGGATAGGAGAGGACAGGATAGGACAGGATAGGATAGGATAGAAAGATAGCTAGGATAGATAGAAACATACATATACATATACATATACATGTACATGTACATGTACATGTTGGTATACATATACATATACTTATACTTGCACTATCTTGTACTTATACTTAAATACTTATACTTATACATACTCATAGTCATTTACAAATACATATTTATACAATACATAGACATACGCATACGCATATACACATACATTTAAACATACAAATACATACATATACATACATATACATACCATACATATACATACACACATATACATATATATATATATCTAAATATTCATATTTACGCACACACACACATATATACATGTTTGTTAAACATATACATATATACATATATACAAATGTACACATACACATATATACATATATATATGTACAAATATACACATATATATATACATACATATATGTATATATGTACATATATACATATATACATATACATATATACATATATACACATACACATTTTTACGTATATACATTTATACATATATACATATATACATATATCCATATTTACAAATATACATATTTTTATGTATACATCAATACATATATACACATATATACATATATACATATATACATATACACATATATATATACAAATATACATATATATAAAAACATATGTATACTTGTATACATATATATACATATATATACATATGTATACTTATAAACATATATACATAAATACATATATACATATAATATGTACATACATATATATATACATATACATATATACACATTTACATATATACATATTTTCATATACATATTTACATATATATATGTATACATCAATACATCAATACATATATACATATGTATATATACATATGTACATATACATACATACATACATACATACATACATACATATATACATATATACATATATACATATGTACATATACATACATACATGCATACATACATACATACATACATACATACATACATATATACATATATACATATATACATATGTACATATACATACATACATGCATACATACATACATACATACATATATACATATATACAAATATACATATATAATATAGACATATACGCATATATGCATATATACATATATAATATAAACATATAAACATATATGCATTTATACAAATATACATACATACACATACATATATATATAATTACATACACACATAATATATATATATACGTAGTCGTGTGTACATCATGTATATATGATAGTGTTTTGCGTATTTAACACTGTAAGTCGCCATCTGGTTTAATGTCATGGCTGTTACCTACTTGCCAGGGTTTCCCACAGAACTTCCCAGACTGCCATTTCAACCGGTCGCCACGTACTCGTCTCGCACCACTTGGAGCATCTGATCGATTCTTTTTGCTGTCATTTCAGTGCCATTTTGGATAAGAAAGTCGGAACCTTGTTGGTAAATCCCCCCACTTGTTGGTTCAGTATTGACAACCGTCCAAGTTTGAGGGTCCTATTTTTTTTCCTGTTCATTCCTTCAAGTGTTTGCTGTATACAGTGTATACAGTCGTGCATTGTCCAAGTTTTCTTACTGCAGATCCCCATCTTTTGTGTTCCATCCTGGATACCAGTTTTTCTTGGGGTTTCACTATCCCACGCCATGTCCAATCTTTGATACCATCTGGCCATCTGGTTATTTAACAGCTTGCTGTGGAGCACCCATTGATAGATGATTTATGCTGATTTACCCATTAAAATCGGTGATTTTTCAGAGCTACGTTAATTACCAGAGGGTATAGGATGAAGTTACGTTATAATTAGCACATTGTCACATGAAAAACTGGGGAATGTAACCAATAAGGACAAAACATTCACCCTCTCCTCCATTGATCAAATCAGTGATATTGTTGGGAGAGACATCTACTCTACATGCAGCATTTTTACACTTTGCATTGATCAAATTCCCAGCTTCCATTGATTTGCCCCGGAGATTAGGGTCAAGCGAAGTTCATTTCATTTGTTTCATGGGTGAATTCCTCATGTTTTATTGGTGAATCCACAATTGGTATTGTTTCCAGTTTCATCATCCCGACATCCCCGACCTTGAAACTTCTCCTCCCAAGGTCCCAAACCATCATCACATATTACCCGATTACCCTCCATGTTTATGTGGCGGACCCCGAACTTTTCTGGAGGTTGGCTGGAAAATCATACAACTGGCAGGATTTTGCCATGGCGGGAGTCGGTGGATTTCCCAGCGGCGAATGTCACATCCCCAAAGCCCATTGGGTTTGTTTGAAAATTAAGAACCCCCAAACGGATAATCATCATTGTTCCCATTATAATTTCGGTGTATATATCACACATTTTGTTTGTCAACCCCCAAATGGGAAACCTGCTAGCTGTGAAAGTGTCTTTTTGTCTCATTTCTTTGAGGTGATTCCAAATGGAGCGACCAGAATCGAATGATTCAAAGCAAGCAACCGACGATGGCGACCGGAAAAAGTACCGTTTTTACAGATTCTCAGCCGCGGCCACGTGGTTTGTTGAGAAACAGATAGGAGAAGGTTTCCAATCGTAACCAATGGTCAATATGAGTCAATATCCAGATTGATGATATCCTCTGGTAAGCGAACCTGGCTTGCTGGGAAATCCTCGATATAGAATTTGTAATCACATTGAACTCTCCCAAGCATTTGAATGTAAGCTAGATTCTGACCGCGCGGGATTTTCACCTCACCACTCCCTCCAGGCTTGCCGCATCTGACATGTAGCACCAAGTACCTTCGCAATAGCAAGCAAACATTCCCCAGCACGGCATAAAGCGCGCAAGAGGTCCCATTTGTAACATAGCATGAAATGATATTAGTGTATGCCAATCACACAAAACACTCCAAAACACAGGTACTGTTTCTAGCATTAAGACCACATTTGATTTTGCATTGATTTATGTAGGACAATCCTCTAAATGTAGTTTGCATGGATCGCCGGGCCGCGTTTTTTCATGGAACCTGCTCCAGTCTGTTGGCTCAGAGAGTGCGAACATTGATGGATCAGTCAGCATTTGGGTACCGCGGATCCTGATATATCCTGATGGACCGCATATACATACAGTACATATACATACATAGATTATATATACGATTATTATACAGTACACAGACACACAGACAGTTTCTTGCATGCATATCTACATACGATTACATACGTGCATACAACAAAATTTAGAATCTACACAGATAGTTATCAGACGATATGTTGCATGCATCACATATCATAAGAGTATACAATCCTGAAGCAAATCATTTTGGAATCTACCTGGGGCACATCCCTTCAGCTCCGACTGGCACCATGTCTGATCTCCTACCCGGCATGCTGGAACCGAAGGAAGAGAAGGAACCGAAGGAACCGAAGGCGAGCCCCAAATTCACAGAAGGCAAGGAGCCGCGATCGTGGCCCAAATGGGAGAAGGTCGACCCGGCCACGGCCACGCGAAGGGATCCGCAGATCGAGAGCTTCGCAGGGATTGACACCCGGATTTGATTGGATGGGGTGGATGGCAAGAATTGGATGACGGTGCCAACATAGATTACTCTTTTTAAGTCAAAAAAATGTTCACGCGGGTACAGACTCTGTACCCACAACCAAATAGCTGGCATATGGCTTTTCATCTTTCCCTACGTACTGGCCCATCATGGAGTTTTGCTGTTTTGCTCTACATGCGGTAACCTCCTTGCATTAAACACATTTTATTGTATGGGAGACTATTGTAACAAGGTCACGCAGCCCGCAACGGCCCAGCGCAATTTGCAGCTTTTTACCACAGCGCTTTCTCAGATTCGTCACCGCTTGCAGGGTTTTTCAGCATCAGCATTTTGAGTAGGCTTGCATTTTAAGTGGTATTTGCACTGGTTTTGTATCGCTTTCAGCAATTTACAGGGGCCGAAATGTTGTTCTTGCCTTCTCATTTTTCAAAGAAAAAGAATCACATACGATATTTAATTCGCAAGTCTTTGCCAAGGTGCCAAGTTGGTTCAACCTTATCTCTTGAAGAGCGTGTTGAAAGTTCCGTAAAGCAATTATATGAAGGTTGTAAGAAATGTGCATCTCTGAGACGTGTGAGAAATAACAAGAGGAAAATGTTACTGCACATGTGACATGCAATTAACATATGAAACTGTATGTTGTCCACTGTGCGAAAGTAGCAAGAACGCATGGGAATCATAGGCAGTGTGAGCAAACAATACAAAATATTGGGTCAGGGGCCGATCAATCTGTTTTGTATGAATATATATATATACATATATGTGCACAATATGATGTATCAATAAAATCAGCATAAAATGTGAAATATGTGATTTCCACTATTTAAATATTTGATATTCAATATGTTTGACACTCTAGATTTTTGTATATATATATACACAGTATTGAGGACATTTTATATTATAAAATGAATATATATATATATATGCAGTACTGTAGATAACACATCATACCACATATATATATACATATGTATTCTACATGGTATATATATGTATATAAAAGTATGATACATAGTTTTCACATATATATATATAGAAACTATATTAAAAACTATATGTATATACATATTATAGATATCATGCACTATACAAAAAATATAAAACCAATATACAGTATGCAATTTGCATGATATACAGTACATATCATTGAACATTGCTGCACAGCGTTATTACTATTTTCTGCATTCTACTTTAAAATACATATGAACGTGGTATATATATCTACACGCAATATATATATATCATATATATATATATGTATATGCAATATTATACAGCATACAACATACATTACATATGTGACGTATATACATATATATATACAGTATACAATGTATATGACATATGGCATACATATATATATATATACACACACACATATATATATTTATACACCATATTACGATAAATGTATACAATACATATAGCGTAAACATGTTTATTGTCATTATTTTACTTTATTGTATGCTTAAATGCATGCATAATATTGTTGCAAGGTACACTATGTTGTGTAGTAATATATATATATATATTTATATTGTAAACATGTTACATGAAACAAACTATATGATTCATATATATTTATATATACATACATATGTGTATATATAACATCCGATACAAAACACATACTAACATAGAAATATGATTAACATTCTCAAAATGGGGAAGATAACTTGAGATATAATATAGTGTCGTATATATGTATAGTTCATAGACTTACTTAATTTTGAAATATATTTATTTCATGATATACATATATATATATATGCGATATACAAGTTATATATGCATAATATTTAACTAGTATGGTATATACATATTTAATAATCAACATATGTGACGTATCCTCTATATTAAATTCAGAGTATCTGTACTTCATATAGTATGTTGGATTCATGCTTATACTGTATATTATATATATATGTCATATACAGTACACATACTGTATATGATGTGTTTATAAATACATACTTAATATGATACGATGTAAATAGCACGTGATATATGGTGTATATATATATATACTGTATATGATGGTTCATTACTTATGTAGTAAAACAGGCACTATCTCTATATGTGCATACAGTATACACATAGTATTTATGTGTCTTTGCATCCGTGTCATCATTGTGGTCATCACCATGCTCCTCCTTCCTCTCCTGGGCACCGCCATCATCACTAGAATATTTCCAATCTATATAAACAGATGTTGTTTTCACCTGTTTTTAGCAAGATACACGCACATTATATGACACATACAAAAGTACACGTACATTTTAATAATATGTACAAATTTGTAATCTAGCTACTATGTAAACAATATATGGATCATGTATACCCTCCTGTTTTTCATAGCATAGATATGGAAAGTGAACCATTCTACTGAACAAATCGTGGTTGTCAGGTTTTCCACATCTATGTTAGCAATAGTTTACCCAGCCACATGGTGTCAGGAGGCTCGACTGGACGAGCTGTCGCAGCAAATGGACCTGGTACTGGCAGAGCTGAGCGGTGGAAAATCTCGCCAGGATGGAGTTTTGTCGTGGGTCGTTGAAAAATGATGGATTTAATTTAACAATAAAAACATGTGATTTACCATGAGAAATGAATTTAGCAAAATTTGTTTTTTTCACCACAAAGAAATGTGATTTTACCATGAGAAATGAATTTAGCAAGATTCGTTTTTTTTTCACCACAAAGAAATGTGATTTTACCATGAGAAATGAATTCAGCAAGATTTGTCTTTTTTTCACCACAAAGAAACGTGATTTTACCATGAGAAATGAATTTAGCAAGATTTGTTTTTTTCACCACAGAGAAATGTGATTTTACCATGAGAAATGAATTTAGTAAGATTTGTTTTTTCACCACACAAAATGTGATTTTACCATGAGAAATGAATTTAGCAAGATTTGTTTTTGTCACCACAAAGAAATGTGATTTTACCATGAGAAATGAATTTAGCAAGATTTGTTTTTTTCACCACAAAGAAATGTGATTTTACCATGAGAAATGAATTTAGCAAGATTTGTCTTTTTTTCACCACACAAAATGTGATTTTACCATGAGAAATGAATTTAGCGAGATTTGCTTTTTTCACCACACAAAATGTGATTTTACCATGAGAAATGAATTTAGCAAGATTTGTTTTTTTCACCACAAAAAAATCTGATTTTACCATGAGAAATGAATTTAGCAAGATTTGTTTTTTTCACCACAAAGAAATGTGATTTTACCATGAGAAATGAATTTAGCAAGATTTGTTTTTTCACCACAAAGAAATGTGATTTTACCATGGGAAATGAATTTAGCAAGATTTTTTTTTCACCACAAAGAAATGTGATTTTACCATGAGAAATGAATTTACCAAGATTTGTTTTTTCACCACACAAAATGTGATTTTACCATGAGAAATGAATTTAGCAAGATTTGTTTTTTTCACCACACAAAATGTGATTTTACCATGAGAAATGAATTTAGCAAGATTTGTTTTTTTCCCCACAAAGAAATGTGATTTTACCATGGGAAATGAATTTAGCAAGATTTGTTTTTTTCACCACACAAAATGTGATTTTACCATGAGAAATGAATTTAGCTTTTTTCACCACAAAGAAATGTGATTTTACCATGAGAAATGAATTTAGCAAGATTTGTTTTTTTCACCACAAAGAAATGTGATTTTACCATGAGAAATGAATTTAGCAAGATTTGTTTTTTTCACCACAAAAAATGTGATTTTACCATGAGAAATGAATTTAGCAAGATTTGTTTTTTTCACCACAAAGAAATGTGATTTTACCATGAGAAATGAATTTAGCAAGATTTGTTTTTTTCACCACAAAAAATGTGATTTTACCATGAGAAATGAATTTAGCAAGATTTGTTTTTTTCACCACACAAAACGTGATTTTACCATGAGAAATGAATTTAGCAAGGTTTGTTTTTTTCACCACAAAGAAATGTGATTTTACCATGAGAAATGAATTTAGCAAGATTTGTTTTTTTCACCACAAAGAAATGTGATTTTACCATGAGAAATGAATTTAGCAAGATTTGTTTTTTTCATCACAAAGAAATGTGATTTTACCATGAGAAATGAATTTAGTAAGATTTGTTTTTTTCACCACAAAGAAATGTGATTTTACCATGAGAAATGAATTTAGCAAGATTTGTTTTTTTTCACCACAAAGAAATGTGATTTTACCATGAGAAATGAATTTAGCTAGATTTGTTTTTTTCACCACAAAGAAATGTGATTTTACCATGAGAAATGAATTTAGCAAGATTTGTTTTTTTCACCACAAAGAAATGTAATTTTACCATGAGAAATGAATTTAGCAAGATTTGTTTTTTTCACCACACAAAATGTGATTTTACCATGAGGAATGAATTTAGCAAGATTTGTCTTTTTTTCACCACACAAAATGTGATTTTACCATGAGAAATGAATTTAGCGAGATTTGCTTTTTTCACCACACAAAATGTGATTTTACCATGAGAAATGAATTTAGTAAGATTTGTTTTTTTCACCACAAAGAAATGTGATTTTACCATGAGAAATGAATTTAGCAAGATTTGTTTTTTTCACCACAAAGAAATGTGATTTTACCATGAGAAATGAATTTAGCAAGATTTGTTTTGTTCACCACAAAAAATGTGATTTTACCATGAGAAATGAATTTAGCAAGATTTGTTTTTTTCACCACAAAGAAATGTGATTTTACCATGAGAAATGAATTTAGCAAGATTTGTTTTTTTCACCACACAAAATGTGATTTTACCATGAGAAATGAATTTAGCAAGATTTGTTTTTTTCACCACAAAGAAATGTGATTTTACAATTAGACATGAATTTAGCAAGATTTGTTTTTTTCACCACAAAGAAATGTGATTTTACCATGAGGAATGAATTTAGCAAGATTTGTTTTTTTGACCACAAAGAAATGTGATTTTACCATGAGAAATGAATTTAGCAAGATTTGTTTTTTTCACCACACAAAATGTGATTTTATCATGAGAAATGAATTTAGCAAGGTTTGTTTTTTTTCACCACACAAAATGTGATTTTACCATGGGAAATGAATTTAGCAAGATTTGTTTTTGTCACCACAAAGAAATGTGATTTTACCATGAGAAATGAATTTAGCAAGATTTGTTTTTTTCACCACAAAGAAATGTGATTTTACCATGAGAAATGAATTTACCAAGATTTGTTTTTTTCACCACAAATAATGATGATTTTACCATGAAAAATAAATTTACCAAGATTTGTTTTTTTCACCACAAAAAAATCTGATTTTACCATGAGAAATGAATTTAGCAAGATTTGTTTTTTTCACCACAAAGAAATGTGATTTTACCATGAGAAATGAATTTAGCAAGATTTGTTTTTTTCACCACAAAGAAATGTGATTTTACCATGAGAAATGAATTTAGCAAGATTTGTTTTTTTCACCACAAAGAAATGTGATTTTACCATGAGAAATGAATTTAGCAAGATTTGTTTTTTTCACCACAAAGAAATGTGATTTTACCATGAGAAATGAATTTAGCAAGATTTGTTTTTTTTCACCACACAAAATGTGATTTTACCATGAGAAATGAATTTAGCAAGATTTGTCTTTTTTTCACCACACAAAATGTGATTTTACCATGAGAAATGAATTTAGCGAGATTTGCTTTTTTCACCACACAAAATGTGATTTTACCATGAGAAATGAATTTAGCAAGATTTGTTTTTTTCCCCACAAAGAAATGTGATTTTACCATGAGAAATGAATTTAGCAAGATTTGTTTTTTTTCACCACACAAAATGTGATTTTACCATGGGAAATGAATTTAGCAAGATTTTTTTTTCACCACAAAGAAATGTGATTTTACCATGAGAAATGAATTCAGCAAGATTTGTTTTTTTTCACCACAAAGAAACGTGATTTTACCATGAGAAATGAATTTAGCAAGATTTGTTTTTTTCACCACAGAGAAATGTGATTTTACCATGAGAAATGAATTTAGCAAGATTTGTTTTTTTTCACCACAAAGAAATGTGATTTTACAATGAGAAATGAATTTAGCAAGATTTGTTATTTTTCACCACAAAGAAATGTGATTTTACCATGAGAAATGAATTTAGCAAAATTTGTCTTTTTTCCACCACAAAGAAATGTGATTCTACCATGAAAAATGATTTTAGCAAGATTTGTTTTTTTTTCACCACAAAAAAATGTGATTTTACCATGAGAAATGAATTTAGCTAGATTTGTCTTTTCTTCACCACAAAGAAATGTGATTTTACCATGAGAAATGAATTTAGCAAGATTTGTTTTTTTCACCACACAAAATGTGATTTTACCATGAGAAATGAATTTAGCAAAATTTGTCTTTTTTTCACCACACAAAATGTGATTTTACCATGAGAAATGAATTTAGTAAGATTTGTTTTTTTCACCACAAAGAAATGTGATTTTACAATTAGACATGAATTTAGCTAGATTTGTCTTTTTTTCACCACAAAGACATGTGATTTTACCATGAGAAATGAATTTAGCAAGATTTGTTTTTTTCACCACAAAGAAATGTAATTTTACCATGAGAAATGAATTTAGCAAAATTTGTCTTTGTTTCACCACAAAGAAATGTGATTTTACCATGAGAAATGAATTTAGCAAAATTTGTTTTTTTTTCACCACAAAAAATGTGATTTTACCATGAGAAATGAATTTACCAAGATTTGTCTTTTTTTTTGTCACCACAAAAAAATCTGATTTTACCATGAGAAATGAATTTAGCAAGATTTGTTTTTTTCACCACACAAAATGTGATTTTACCATGAGAAATGAATTTAGCAAGATTTGTCTTTTTTTCACCACACAAAATGTGATTTTACCATGAGGAATGAATTTAGCAAGATTTGTTTTTTTCACCACACAGAAATGTGATTTTACCATGGGAAATGAATTTAGCAAGATTTGTTTTTTTCACCACAAAGAAATGTGATTTTACCATGAGGAATGAATTTAGCAAGATTTGTTTTTTCCACCACAAAGAAATGTGATTTTACCATGAGAAATGAATTTAGCAAGATTTGTTTTTTTCACCACACAGAAATGTGATTTTACCATGAGAAATGAATTTAGCAAGATTTGTTTTTTTCCCCACAAAGAAATGTGATTTTACCATGAGAAATGAATTTAGCAAGATTTGTTTCTTTCACCACAAAGAAATGTGATTTTACCATGGGAAATGAATTTAGCGAGATTTGCTTTTTTCACCACACAAAATGTGATTTTACCATGAGAAATGAATTTAGCTTTTTTCACCACAAAGAAACGTGATTTTACCATGAGAAATGAATTTAGCAAGATTTGTTTTTTTCACCACACAAAATGTGATTTTACCATGAGAAATGAATTTAGCAAGATTTGTTTTTTTCCCACAAAGAAATGTGATTTTACCATGAGAAATGAATTTAGCAAGATTTGTTTTTTTCACCACAAAGAAATGTGATTTTACCATGAGAAATGAATTTAGCAAGATTTGTTTTTTTCACCACACAAAATGTGATTTTACCATGAGAAATGAATTTAGCAAGATTTGTTTTTTTTCCCCACAAAAAATGTGATTTTACCATGAGAAATGAATTTAGCAAGATTTGTTTTTTTCCCCACAAAGAAATGTGATTTTACCATGGGAAATGAATTTAGCAAGATTTGTTTTTTTCACCACAAAGAAATGTGATTTTACCATGAGAAATGAATTTAGCAAGATTTGTTTTTTTCACCACAAAGAAATGTGATTTTACCATGAGAAATGAATTTACCAAGATTTGTTTTTTTCACCACAAATAATGATGATTTTACAATGAAAAATAAATTTATCAAGATTTGTCTTTTTTTTTTGTCACCACAAAAAAATCTGATTTTACCATGAGAAATGAATTTAGCAAGATTTGTTTTTTTCACCACAAAGAAATGTGATTTTACCATGAGAAATGAATTTAGCAAGGTTTGTTTTTTTCACCACACAAAATGTGATTTTACCATGAGAAATGAATTTAGCAAGATTTGTTTTTTTCACCACACAAAATGTGATTTTACCATGAGAAATGAATTTAGCAAGATTTGTTGTTTTCACCACAAAGAAATGTGATTTTACCATGAGAAATGAATTTAGCAAGATTTGTTTTTTCACCACACAAAATGTGATTTTACCATGAGAAATGATTTTAGCAAGATTTGTTTTTATCACCACACAAAATGTGATTTTGCCATGAGAAATGAATTTAGCAAGATTTGTTTTTTACCCCACAAAGAAATGTTATTCTACCATGAGAAATGAATTTAGCAAGATTTGTTTTTTTCACCGCAAAGAAATGTGATTTTACCATGAGAAATGAATTTAGCAAGATTTGTTTTTTTTCACCACACAAAATGTGATTTTACCATGGGAAATGAATTTAGCAAGATTTGTTTTTTTTCACCACAAAGAAATGTGATTTTACCATGAGAAATGAATTTAGCAAGATTTGTTTTTTTCACCACACAAAATGTGATTTTACCATGAGAAATGAATTTAGCAAGATTTGTTTTTTTCCCCACAAAGAAATGTGATTTTACCATGAGAAATGAATTTAGCAAGATTTGTTTTTTTCACCACAAAGAAATGTGATTTTACCATGAGAAATGAATTTAGCAAGATTTGTTTTTTTTTCACCACAGAGAAATGTGATTTTACCATGAGAAATGAATTTAGCAAAATTTGTCTTTTTTACACCACAAAGAAATGTGATTCTACCATGAAAAATGATTTTAGCAAGATTTGTTTTTTTCACCACAAAAAAATGTGATTTTACAATTAGAAATGAATTTAGCTAGATTTGTCTTTTTTTCACCACAAAGAAATGTGATTTTACCATGAGAAATGAATTTAGCAAGATTTGTTTTTTTTTTCACCACAAAGAAATGTGATTTTACCATGAGAAATGAATTTAGCAAAATTTGTCTTTTTTCCACCACAAAGAAATGTGATTCTACCATGCAAAATGATTTTAGCAAGATTTGTTTTTTTCACCACAAAAAAATGTGATTTTACAATTAGACATGAATTTAGCTAGATTTGTCTTTTTTTCACCACAAAGACATGTGATTTTACCATGAGAAATGAATTTAGCAAGATTTGTTTTTTTCACCACAAAGAAATGTAATTTTACCATGAGAAATGAATTTAGCAAAATTTGTCTTTGTTTCACCACAAAGAAATGTGATTTTACCATGAGAAATGAATTTAGCAAAATTTGTTTTTTTTCACCACAAAAAATGTGATTTTACCATGAAAAATGAATTTACCAAGATTTGTTTTTTTCACCACAAATAATGATGATTTTACCATGAAAAATAAATTTACCAAGATTTGTCTTTTTTTTGTCACCACAAAAAAATCTGATTTAACCACGAAACATGATGAATTTATTACCATGATTTGTTTATTTTTCACTAGAAAAATGGTGATTTAACCATGGTTTCAAACCAATGACGAAAGTGGTGGAATGGGTGTATAACCATTGTTATTGGGATATCTGGGTTTGTCTGATGGGGATTTCACCACCCATTTTCTGATCGAAAAACAACCGGAAACATGGTGGGCAAACTGGCCATATCGAATAGTGATATCATCAATCCAGTAGTAGACATTTATAGACCCATTATGTATATTGTATGAGTATGTGTATGTGTATATGCGTATGCGTATGTCTATGTATTGTATTATTATGTATATGTAAATGACTATGAGTATGTATAAGTATATATATATATAAGTATAAGTACAAGATAGTACAAGTATAAGTATATGTATATGTATACCTACATGTACATGTACATGAAAATGTATATGTATATGTATGTGTATATGTATATATATATATATACATATGAATTTCATACCACACATACCATAAATTGACCGTGGCACGTATGATGTACTATATATATATGTGCAATATCTATTACATACTACGAGGGCCCATATTCATGAGGCCAGAATGTTTGCATTTTGAGGGCGCCAAAATCAACCTGCTAGGCGTGTAAGAAAGTTGAACATGACATTGGATCTCCAGAGCAGGCAACTTCTTGGGGGCAACGCGCTATCTGTTTGGCTTCATTCTCATGGTTTTTACCTCAATTTTTGCCTCCTAAGAATCAGATTTTGGAGAAATGAATTCCAGTTCTACGTTCAGGGTCCTGGCTGGTCCTGGCGTTACCTTTCTGCACGAAACAATGTTCCCAAGTGTGTCCTGACTGGGTCCTGCTGGTATTTCTGCGCATGCAAGTCCATTTTTTCTCTGGCCGATATGTTGCCCCCGCCCCATTCCGGAGGGGCACAAGATTTTCAGATCCCATATGTGCAGCAAAGCTTCAAGCCATGTTGGCCATGGTGCACATTCAAACATGCCTACGCTTTGTGCCACCTTTCCCTTGGAAGAAACATGCCGTCTACGGCAAATCCAACGGGAGCCACAACTCGGTGACTGAAGCGACAACAACCTTGCTAAACAATGCCTGTAAGCCCAAAAATGCACCAGGTACACGGCAAAACATGACCTCTCATCTTTGGCCCCCTGATGTATATACACATACATGATATCGGTATGTTTGTAGTAAGTCTACAAAAAACTATAGATATAACTACATGATACATGGACAGCTTCAAAGGTATTAGAGATACTTAATTACAGTTTTCATCAACAAAAAAGGGTAGCTGAATGGGAGCACGTGGGATTAACCGCCCCAAACACGTGGACATACGGTGAATTCTTTTGAAATGATGGTTTCTGTGGTCACACTCTGGAATCTAACCTGGAAAGGTTTCTGTAGTTTGTTAACCACCAAACATGGACAAAAAATTGCGGTTCAAACAACAAACACCAGGATTTCACCAGCAAAACATCACAGGAATGACTTGGATGGCAGTTCCGCTTGCTGTCATCCAAGCTGTGCAAACGGGACATCTTGATTTTGCTCGGAAAATGGGTGTAGCCCCGCAAGGTGCTTTGGGGAAAACGAGGGGTCTATCGGTGCCAAGTTTCAAGGGTAGCTACAGGATGGAAGTCATGTCTGACTCCGAAAATTTGATGACAATGATTATAGCAAATATGGATTAACCATCAAATTTGTCTGACCCCATCATTTTCTCAATTCAATGGCTATAATTTAGGCTTGAATCCATATTTTCAGACGCAGATTCCGTTCTGGTCACTGGAGGACGCCGCTTCGACATCCGTTCGCTCTAGTTTTCTGAACGTGATTCCAAGAGCGCATGTCTCCACACTTGGTGTCTTGTTTTTTTGAGGCGAAACTGGAAACATAACTGGGATTAGTGGGACTTTAACCTAACAAAAATGGGATTTTATGGTGTTTAATGGTGATTTAGTTCCATTTCATGTTCTACCAGTTGCAAATCATAAGTCCAAACTTGATGATTGTCTCCAAGGTGGGTGCAAATTTTCCGATTTTCCTCTCACAATGTTCATTCTCAGACGTGAATCCGTTTTTCTGATGGGACAAGTCCCAATTCTTGCTGGGTTTTTACCCCTTTTTTTGAGGGATTCAACAAACAAGACTTGGGAGTTCACCTAATGGTGATTTTAGATAGCGAACTGCCAATTTACCAAAGGGTGAAATTTCAACTCTGAAAAAAACGTGATAAAAATGAAACTTCAAAGATGTGCCGACAAAGAGTCAGGTATCGGATTTTCCTACAGGGTAGCTTACTTGTAATCAGAGATTTTTTCACTTCAGCAATCATCCCTTGAACATGTGGAATTTGTAGAATTGGCCAGAAACCAGTAAATAATGCCAGGAAACTTGGTAATCAAATGAACTCCAAGAAACAATGGTTTCAACCTACAATTTTTTTATGAATGATATTAATGTGTTCGCAAGGAATTAAAACATGTTTGAACAGCATTGAAGTGGTGAATTTTTCCTTATCCAACTTTCCAGGGGTCTTTTTCGGTGTGTCAGATTCTGAACAACTCCCGGACTGAACATCATAGAATCCTGATATCTTATATATAATCAGCACACAAATCCCATGAAAACACCATAAAATGCAATTAGATCCGCATATATCACCATAACACAGCATAAAATCCCATTAAATCACATTAAACAGCATAAGATTCCATCAAACCAACATGCAATCCCATTGAGACGACGTAAACGGCCATTCATCACTATACACTCCCATTAAAACACGATAAAATCTTATTAAAACACCATACAAGCCCATTGAAACACGATAAAATCTAATGAAAACATCATACAAACCCATGGAAATCATCATCAAATCCCCTTTTTCATGACTTTTCCGGTGAACTTCCCATGAATCGTGGCCTCAGGTCCCCCCTCGGCGCGCGCCTCGCGCACCTCGCGGAAGTCACGGGCTTCCGGGGCCTCGCGGGCCTCCCGGGCCTCGTGCGCCTCCCCGTCGGATCCGGGCTCGGACAAGTCCATCACGGACGCGGCAATTCGGTGGGGATTGAACTGATTGAAGCGTGAAAAATGGGATTTCACCGGGAAATGGTGGGTTAAATGGTGGGTTATGGGATTTAACATGATTTAACTATGAAGAAATGGTGGCTTGATGTGATTTCAGGAAGAACAATGGTGAAGAATGGTGGTTTCACAGAGAAATATGGGGATTTTACCAATCTTTCATGGTTGAATGGAGTATCGAATGGGTTATGAGGGGATATACAAGCATCAATATGATATTTGGGTGCGTCTGAAACTGGTGTGCCGCCCCTAATAGGCATCTTGCTGATTGGAGGTGTGATTATTGGCTGGTTTTCACCAACAAAAACGGGGGATTCTGGGTTGGTTTTCCTTCATTTTGCATCATTTTAGCATGAACGAATTGGTGGAAGTGACAAATTCCGATGACTGTCGGTTAGGATTTTACAAAGGGGTGAATTGAACTTGGTTGAACTAATTTTACCATCGTGAACATGGGTGAATAGGGGTTGTTATATAAATGAGCCACAGAGATTGGATCATATATGAGTGTAATCCCATTCATGAAGATATTGTTGGCAATGAGGCACCCAGATGGTGTTGTTATCCATTCTTGCATCTTGGGCTTTGACGCCAGGAAAGATTTCGGGATGTCTGGCATTGGGTCAAATCTACGTGGTCAATCTTGGTGGAAACGCTTTTTTTTTTTTGATGGGACGCCATTTTTTCCTTTCCAAACGGGACTAGGATCCCTTTCATCCTTTTTCCTATTAACATGGCCACATCGGCTAAATCCTCCATTTTCAGACCCACACGTGATATTGTTTATATAATATGGAGGTTTATTTTTTTTGGGATTTTTTCCCCTGTGTTTTGTTTTTTTTTGGATTCTGTCTTGAGAAGGAGAGGCCAGCAAGGAAGGAAGGAAGGAAGGAAGGAAGGAAGGAAGGAAGGAAGGAAGGAAGGAATCGTATTCAACCAGCAGCATTACATGTGAGAATATGTATTAACACCCTGATTTGGAATCGAGTCGCTGCGCTCCTGTTTTTGCTTGGATCCAACCCTATCAGCGCATATGCAAGAGTACTGAGCATACTTTAAAACGCTGTCGTGGCCCAAGAGAGATATAGAGGTATAGCATTGTAGATTTGGCACAGCACATATGAGGTAATTGGCACATAGAGGAAAAGCAATGCTTGCAGCGTGTGAAGGCGCTCTAGCTGACCATTTATAGACTTGAAGGACGCTATTGCCTTTCTTCAGCCCTCCCCCCAAATCACCCTTTTCGGTTTTTATTTGATTCCAGGCCTGCGCGCCTGCAAATGCACCATTATATATTTTACCGTTCAAAAAGCCCACACATACATATACATCTTGCCAAAATACATTTGAAATATCTTGAGATCAACCGGTAGCCAACCTGAAAGAAAATTTCATCAGATTCTGAACCAGTCTTACTTAAACTTTAAACCAACCCTAAATAGCTAAATTGAAATAGGTTGCAAACCAACTTTAAGCAATAAGATAACGTGTAAAAACTTTTATCTTAAATCGTGTCCTGAAAATGTTTTAATTCATATCATGACACATGATAAACCAACGCTTCGAAAACTTTCAACAATCACAGACGCTGCAAAGATTTTTTTGAAGCAGCTAGGTGCCACTGCCAACAATGCACCCACTACTGCTCTCTCAGTCTCAGCATGGCTCAGCGTTTGTATAATGTTGTCAAGTCATTCACGTGCATGTGCAGTATCAGCTCTACCCTGGTTTGCCGAGGTTGTCCTCTCCGCTCTGGCTTGGTCCTTCTTACATGTTGCCCCGGTCCTGTTTTGTATGTGTTCATGCCGAATCTTTTTATTTTAAAACCACCCCCGCGGCTTGTGACAATGCCAGAAAGGTGGATGATAAGGCCCACCTACATTGCGAATTAATGTATCATGACTATGTGACGCTTTGCGGGGGGAGGGCGCAGCGCCCTCCCCCTGCGCCCCCCTCCCGCCTTTTTATTTTAGAGCCACCCCCCGCGGCTTGTGACAAAATGCAAGTGTATGATACGGCCCACCTTCTGTTTCAAGCGTGTGTGATCAAACTTGTCGTCAAAATTCAAGTGCGTGCTGTGCTGCCATGCTGTGACAAAACCACAAAGGTGGATGAAATGGCCCACCAACTGCTACGTCTAGTATTACGCTACCGCTGTGTGCTGTGACAACGCCACAAAGGTGGATGATAAGGCCCACCTACATTGCGAATGAATGTATCATGACCATGTGACGCTTTGCGGGGGGAGGCGCTGCGCCCTCCCCCCGCGCCCGCCTCCCGCCTTTTTATTTTAGAGGCAACCCCCCGCGGCTTGTGACAAAATGCAAGTGTATGATACGGCCCACCTTCTGTTTCAAGCGTGTGTGATCAAACTTGTCGTCAAAATTCAAGTGCGTGCTGTGCTGCCATGCTGTGACAAAACCACAAAGGTGGATGAAATGGCCCACCAACTGCTACGTCTAGTATTACGCTACCGCTGTGTGCTGTGACAACGCCACAAAGGTGGATGATAAGGCCCACCTACATTGCGAATGAATGTATCATGACCATGTGACGCTTTGCGGGGGGAGGCGCTGCGCCCTCCCCCCGCGCCCCCCTCCCGCCTTTTTATTTTAGAGCCCCCCCGCGGCTTGTGACAACATGCAAGTGTATGATACGGCCCACCTTCTGTTTCAAGCGTGTGTGATCAAACTTGTCGTCAAAATTCAAGTGCGTGCTTTGCTGCCGTGCTGTGCAAAACCGCAAAGGCGGATGATAGTGCTACGCCCAGTATTACGGTACCACAGCTACCGCTGTATGCTGTGACAACGCCACAAGGTGGATGATAAGGCCCACCTGCATTGCAAATGAGTGTATCATGACTATGTGACGCTATCTATCTATCTAATCTAATCTTATCCTATGTTATCTAATCTAATCTAAGCTAATCTAATCTAATCTAATCTAATCAATCAATCCAATCAATCATCTATCAATCAATCTATCTATCTAGCTATCTATCTATCTATCTACCTATCTATCATGTCTGTTTGTTTAACACAGTGGATGCACGATGAATACAACGGCAAACAACACAGAACCGTCCATGCCACTAGTGATTACATGTATGCAAGTCGCGGGAAACACGTCCAAAAACGGCAAGAACAAAACAAAATCGTTCAAAGCCAAAAAAAACCGGTGAAAAGCAAACTAAACACCCAAAAAACGTTTAAAACCCTGGAAAATGAATGGAAGCCAAGGAATACACCGGTTGGCGCCATGGAACAAGCAAACAACACGCCCCGCAAGACAGAATCCAAAAAAAATCCCAAAACGCAGAAAAAAATCCCAAAATAATTCTCCATCCATTGTATGTGCGTATACAATATATATATATATATGATATAATACAATATAGTATAATATAATATAATATAATTTAATATAAAATAATATAATATTATATAATATATAGTATAATGTTATGTGCATATATATATATGTATATTATACACATCACATTCCATTACGTCCCATTATATATTTATTCGTTAAGTCCCCATCTTTCGACCGGCCCAGCGTCCCAGGCAACTCCGGAGAACAAGCGGGTGCCTTGACGGTTAAGAAGCGATCCTTGAGGTCTCGACACCAGCCATCCAGCGGTTGAGAAAATCAGGTTTCCCCATCAACGCCTAGCAATACATTGACAAAAATGTATTTATGTAAATATGACATACATATATAATCATATATATATATATCACATATGTATATATATATACACACATACATTATATATCATTATAATTATAGTGCATACACACACGTTGCACACATGTACATACATACTGTACATACATACTGTACATATCATATCATATCATATATCTTATATCACATATCATATATCATATATCATATCATATCATATATCATATATCATATCAGATCATATCATAAAAATATCATATCATATCATATCATAAAAATATCATATCATATCATATCATATCATACCATATAATATCATATCATATACCATATCATATCATATCATACCATATTTCCGAACAAAACCAATCTGTATTCATGACGAATAATTTTGGGCCCGAAAGCCGCAAACATGGTTGTCCCCTTCCAATTTTTGGCATCCTGCAATACGTAGGCCGCCCGGTTCAGGGAGCCCATGATCATGACCTCAAACAATTTCAGGGTGCTGACAAGACATACATGGATTTACTGAGCTTCAAGCTCCATTCCTGTTTCAACTAGTCCTGACCTTTCACCAAAAGCATCTTGGATTAATAACCAAAACATGTAAAAAAGGTTGGATTTACCAGCATTTTCGTGGGATTTTACCCATATTTGTCAGCATTTGAGGATGATTTCATCCCAACGTCCGCATCTGGGGCTCGCCATGCCCGCGTTATGCCCGAGGGCACCGTGCAGTCCCATACACGGCAAGCTGTGCCAGCTGCGAAAGCTGTGGACCTGGCGTGTGCTTGGAGGCTGGGGGACCGGCATGAAAAACATCAATTGGGATTTGATATAAACTATAATATCAACCATAATATCAACCAATCATAGTTGATGTTTATATCAACCATACTTGATAATATATCAACCAACCATAAGTCTGGGTAAATTATAACGACCTCACTGTTCTCCCTCACTGGAATCATGCAAACCCACCCGGTAATTGAAAACAGCTGAACATGGCCAACACATATAGATCATTTTCTCAGCAACCTTCATTTAGTTCAGGGATTTTCCAGCCATGTTGGATTACCGGAGGCTAGTCCGGATGATCCCCCCTGACCGACCAGCCACGTTCGAGGCTTCATGCTGACGAGCTAGAGGCCGGTAGCTGTTTTCTCAAGGGGATGACCCTGAAAGAACATATGACTTGACCAGTTGAAAGGAATCCCTGACAGTGAGATGATGATATACCCCACCATGTAACTTGACCACGCCAGAGTCATGGGTCATTTTTCGTCATCTCAAGCCAATAAATTAAGATTTCGAGATACAAGATTAAGATAATTTAAGCGCAAAAAATGGCGAGGGACCAAGATATAGGATGGTTACGAAGAATTGCACCGGTCCACTGGGTGTTGAATTTTGACACGTGCCGTTCCCGAGGGTGAGTATTCCAACACGGAGCGCGAGCGTGCTAAGAGCTCGGCGCAAACGCTGTGGCGTTTGGTGGAACGTAGACGAGCGGACGTTCTCTGGGAGTTGTTGGATGACCCTTGGGCGGAAATCTCAGATTTTAACCCTGCAGCTGTATTAAGATTACACCGGCAAGAGACCCCAAACAGTGTGGGGGGGAGGGAAGTCAATGTACCAGGTACAAGCAACAGTAGCCATGGAACAGCAACAGATCAGGTTTGACATTATCAAAACTGCAGCGGCAGGAACTTGTTTTGGCACAGGAAGCAGCGCTATGTCTACTCATACAGACCTCATAACACCAGAACCCCATACCAGAACATCTAAGAGAATTTTAAAAGATCATCAAGCCAAGACCTTCTATATATAGAGGATTTCACCAGATCTTCATACAAGAACTTTCTATGAACATCCCAGAGGCACTTTCACACAAGCACCAATGCAGAGCATCTTCAAGATCTTAATGCAAGGATCTCTTGAAGAGGAATTCGACAGGATCTCCACAAGATCTTCTCACACGGACCTGTACGAGATCTGGCAAGGACCCCTTAGACGATTTCAACAATCTCTGCAAGATCTTTTCACAAGGAATTGTAAATGATCCTGACCAGGATCTTCATGCAAGGACCCCTCAGAGAATCCCACAAGATCGTCATAAAAGGACCTGCTGCTGGAGAGGCTCTTAGAAGATCTTGATACAAGAACCTTCCATGAGCCCCGCAAAAGAACTTTCATGCAAACACCTCTGCTACATGGCATCTGCAAGATCTTCACGCAAGGACTTGTTAGAGAGGATCTTGCCAGGATTTCCACAAAATCTTCTGACAAGGACCTGCGCAAGATCATGCAAGGACCTCCTAGACTTGGAGAATTTCAGCAGGATCTTCACAAGATCTTCTCAGAAGGGCCTGTACAAGATCCTGCAAGGAACCCTCACAGGATTGCATCAGAATCTTCACAACTTCTTCAAGACATTGGCCAAAATCCTCACATATTACGCACCTCTAAGACTGCACCATGAAACACTTGCACGATCGTCAAAGAAGAACCTTCCGGACAACCGAGAAGATCTCTTGACCAGGGTCAAGAAATTCAGCTAAACCCATTGAGTCCAGATGTTGCTTCTTGAAAAACCTGGAATTTTAGTTAGTAGTCTGTTGCTGAGGCATCTTGTTTTCTAAAATTATTTTCTTGTGCTGGGAGAATTTTGGTACTTCATGAAACTCTAAGTCATGGCGCCACCTGCCCTAGTCCTGGGTGTTTCGCTCTCAGGATCCTCGCTCCAGTCCCATGGCATGGTTCGTGTCACAGTTTTTGAAGGTGCTGCGGCTGCTGCGGTGATGGTGGGGTGGATCATGTCCTGCATTTTTGTTGACCTTACCGCAGAAATGAGGATATAATATGATATAACCAGGGCTAGCGCGGGATATAACCAATATATACTGGAATTGGTTGGTTGATGGGCTTCAAAATTTTGGTCATTTTTCCATTCCCCCAAAGAATGCAGGACAATCCCAGTTTAGTGACTTATGCCTGTAGGATATGTAGCAATGGAGGAACTCTCCCCTTAAAATGATCCAAAATCGCTGGGCATCAATCGAGTTGGTGGCGTCTGCCGTCTCCACATCCTTGCAGCAAAGTAGGGTTGGGCGAAGTGACTTATTTAGAATTCCATCAAGTTCCGAACATATCATATACCCAGGGGTACCCATACCCATATTTATAGCGTACATACAGTACTGATATATGCATATGTATATACACACATACTGATTACTCACGAATGCATAGATGTACAAATCTTCTGCCCATACCGCAAATATTTTCCAAATTTTCGACATCCACATCTCCCTGTCGAAGCACATGGTTTCCTTTCAAATTTCTACATCATCAATCGTCATGGGTAGATATGACCTCATTGACAGGCTGATCATTTCCCAGGGTTTCCCCATGTGCTTTCCATAATCCAAAAATTAGCTTACTGGAGGGTGTAACTCCTTAGCAGTTTCATACACCCAAGTTGCTTGATGATTATGTGGTTCATACTGTAATACTACACAAGATATTGGGGATTCTCATAAATCTATGCACTGCGAATCACCATAAACCAACCATTAACCATTCTCTTGGATTTTCCAATAGGTTTATGGCACTTCTCAGTTGACCCCCCTGTCACCATCAAAAACTAGGGATTTGACCAAGAAACGTGTGGAGATGTGGCAGTGCCTTCCCATTTTTGGAGGGAAGATCCATCAAGACACCCATCACCAGCCAGGCTTGGGATGTTTCAAACTGCCCCTGTGGTCCAACGGTCCAACCGGGGGAGGCCATGGTGATCTCCTCTGTGCTGTGGTCCAACCTGCAGATGACCGAGACAGAAGTCCTGGATCCCTTCGTTGCGCTGGTGCTGGAGATCATCATCGACACCATCTTTACGGTGAGTGGATGGTGGACATGAGAACCAGAATATTTCCAAATGCACATGCATTATGTATATAATATGTTAGAACATATCAGTATTTGATATACATCAGAACATATATATATATATGCATATATGCATATGATGTCTGTATTGTAAAAACAGCGTGTGCGTGTGTGTATTCACACAGACAGGCAGACAGGCAGAAGAGACTTGTTCTCAGCCTCACCAAAGGTTGATGTTTTTGCGCCTGAGATCGCAGAGGTATCAACACATCTCAAAACTATAAAAGGACAAATGGGGGTTTCCATAAATGGGGGAGCCCCAACCAACAGGATGTTTTCGAATGGACAATCCTACTAAAATGGATAATTTCGGGATCCATTTTAGGAAATCCCCTAAATCGGTTTATTTCCGTTTTGCTACACACAAAGTTTGATACCCTCTGGTAAACTAACATAGCTATTGAAAATGGCCATTTATAGTGGATTTACCCATTAAAAATAGTGATTTTCCATAGCTATGTTAAATTACCAGAGGGTATTTCAGAAACGTAGGATCTTGATGGATCTTGTCTCTTTGAAGGCTGACCTGAAGTGCCACTGGGTTTCACAACAGGCCGAATTTGCATGTCGAGTGCTGTCGGCACCATCCAAAAGGACCTGGCAGAGATTACCACCATGTTGGGGTTGTGGGTTGTAATGAGTTTACCAACAAACCTATGACAAACACATAGAATTACTGGATGTTTGAAGCAGCAAAATAGGACATGTGGGATTTTTTTTAAAAGCAACATGGAAAGTGTGGGATTCTTGACGAAGCAAATGGGAACGTAGTGGAATTGAACCAACCTAAGATGGTCAATGAGTGACATGGGGACGGGTCAATACTTACAAGTTCTCATATCTAAGGGAGATACATCGAGAACATGCTAGGGCTGCCAATTTTGGTGGGAACAGCAGAAATGATTCGTACCAGGGTGAACTCACCCGTCCCGAAGTGTCTGGGAGTGAACAGTTGCTGCTGGATATCGAGTCGAACTGTTCAATACCAGTCAATACCTACAGCCCCAAAGAGTGACCAATTGTGGGCTCTTTGGTACCCAATTCTTGGCCAGAATCCAGTCATTGATGGAATGCTTTACCAGCCATCTAAGGCTGTTTTCAGGGACCCCAATGAACTCCCGTTGAGTCCTTTCCCCCACAGCAGGGATGGATGTGGCTGCAGGAACTACTTCATGGATCCGTTAAATTGGGCCGATGCTCGGCCCAGCATGGGATGAACTCGGTACTCCCGCCTTAGCACCATGGAAACCATCTGAAGTATTCCCAGGTTTGATGACTGCGTGATGTAGCCATGAACCTAAAGTTTTTGCTTGATATCTCCATGTTTGCTGTTTGATCTCTCCATATAGTGATCTAGAATCGAGTATCCCCATGTTTTAGAGGTCTAACATAACATACAGTTTTTTTTTGTTAAAACAAGCCCATATTTTGGTGAATCTCCCCATGTTTTTGATTCGCACCGCCGGGCCTCGAAAAAAGGACATTCTATCAGCGCTGGGTCTCCCGCTTCGCGCTGCCATTGGCTTTGCCATTTGGATCAAACCAATTTGGGATGGTTATGGATGGTTTACCACCTTACATAATTTATACCAGTAGTACCGCACAAGGCGGTGGCGGAAGTTTCAAAATTGGGAAACGTATAGGAGAGCTTGGTTGTTGTGAATCACGAATGGCAGAGCGAATCCACTGATGGACCGAAAGGTGGTTGGAGTTGTGTTTTTTGAAGTGGCTGCAATGGTTCCAGTGGTCACCTCTTCCTCAACTGCTTTATGTAGTGTGGTGTGGTGTAGCGCACTTGTAGTTGTAGGTTTAGCGTAGAGTAGTGAATTTGTAGTTGTAGTGTAGCGTAATTAGTATGTGTGTTGTGGTAGTTGCAGTTGAAGTTGTAGTTGTGGTGTGGTGTAATTTGTGTAGTGCAAAAATGTGTCGTGTAGTGTACTGTAGTGTTGTGTACTGTAGTGTAGTATTATAGTGTGGTGTAGCCTGGTGTAGTGTAGTGTTGAGTAGTGAAATTGTAGTTGTAGCCCCCGTTGTAGCTGTAGTGTAGTGTAGTGTAATCAGTGTAGTGCAGTGTGGGGTAGTTGTAGCTGTAGCTGCGGTGTTGTGGAACATGTTGTAGTTGTAGTGTAGTTGTAGTTGTAGTGTACTGTAGTGTAGCGAAGTGTAATTAGCGTAGTGTAGCGTAGTGTAGTGTAATGTAGTGTCGTTGTAGTTGAAGTTGTAGCTGTATTTGTAGTGGTAGTTGTAGTGTGGTGTAATTAGTGTAGTGTAATGTACTGTAGTGTACTGTGCGTTGTTTACTGTAGTGTAGTATAGTGTGGTGTAGCCTAGTGTAGTGTAGCGTAAAGTAGTGTAGTTGTAGTTGCAGCTGTCGTTGTAGCTGTAGTGTAATTAGTGTAGTGTAGTCTGGTGCAGTTGTAGCTGTAGCTGTAGTGTTGTGTAATGTGTCTCAGTTGTAGTTGTAGCTGTAGTTGTAGCTGTAGCTGTAGTGTACAGTAGTGTAGTGTAATTAGTGTAGTGTAATGTAGTGTAGTTATAGTTGGAGGTGTAGCTGTATTATTAGTAGTAGTTGTAGTTGTAGTGAAATTAGTGTAGTGTAATGTAATCAATGTAGTGTAACATAGCGTAGTATTTCGTACATGTAGTGTAGAAGTAGTTGCAGTTGTAGTTGTAGTTGTCTATCTATCTAGCTGCCTATCTGTAAGCTTGAAAACGCAGCAATTCTGCGAGACGTCCTAAATTTTTGAACATGACAACATCAAAAATGAGACAAGTCTGCAAGACTTCCTCAATTTTTGAACTTGACAGCATCAAAAACAAGACAATTCTGCGAGACTTCCTCAATTTTCAAAGTTGACAACATCAAAAATGAAACCTGCGAGACTTCCTTCAAAAATGGAAAGTTGAGTGCAGAGCTGACGGCCTCGTACCAATGCGTCTTGCGATTTTTCCACTCCACCTGTCTAAAGTATTGCGCCTGCCACGAAAAAAGTGAGGCCAGGTCATACGAAGTGCTGCACCTGTCACACAAAATCATCTTCCCAAGACTGAAGATCTGATGCTCCAAAATGCAACCCCTCTCAGGAAATCAGCGTCCGGACCGCCTAACAGTTCTGATGAACATGTCTCTTGTACTGCGCCGGCCACGGAAAATGCATCTTTGCAGATGAAATGTCCCACGCCTGCCATCGCTTTTGGAAATGCTACAAAACCCTCACGTTTTGCTCACTTTTGAGAAGGTGCACGATCCTTTGCGCCTGCCACGCGAAACGACATCTGAACCTCCAAAAGTGGCGCGAACATGTGGTGTTTTGTACATTTTGACTTCGAAGTGTGCTTCGCGCCACAACGGCGTGCACTTTTTCAACATCTCAACTTCCAAAAGTGTTCCGAGCGTGGTGTTTTGTACATTTTGACTTCGAAATGTGCTTCGCGCCACAGTGGCATGCACTTTTTCAACATCTCAACTTCCAAAAAAATACTACTATTCGAATCTAATTCGCTTCAGGTGATCTAACCATAAAGAATGAACACCATTTTTGATGGGTAAATCATCTACAAACGGGCGATTTTCGCATTTTCGATAGCTAGGTTATACGATAAGCGGGGAATCACAATTGTTTAATTTTGGTGGAGATGAAATTATTCCTGACCATCACCAATATCACTCTTGTTGTTACTATTGTGATATCATGATGTTGATCATTTTGCTACTGTGGCTGTTCTCATGATTCTTATTGACAATACACATATATATATATATACACCTATCAATAAACTATCAGTAGTACCGCACAAAGCGGTGGCGGAAGTTTCAAACACAGGAAACGACCCACGAATGGCAGAGCGAATCCACTCATGCACCGAAAGGTGGTTGGAGTTGTGTTTTTTGAAGTGGCTGCTGCAATGGTTCCAGTGGCCACCTCTTCCTCAACTGCTTGATGTAGTGTGGTGTGGTGTAGCGCAGTTGTAGTTGTAGTTTTAGTGTAGACTACTGGATTTGTAGTTGTAGTGTAGCGTAATTAGTATGTGTGTTGTGGTAGTTGCAGTTGAAGTTGTAGTTGTGGTGTGGTGCAGTTAGTGTAGTGCAAAAATGTGTCGTGTAGTGTACTGTAGTGTTGTGTACTGTAGTGTAGTATTATAGTGTGGTGTAGCCTAGTGTAGTGTAGTGTAGTGTTAAGTAGTGTAATTGTAGTTGTAGCTCCCGTTGTAGGTGTAGTGTAGTGTAGTGTAATCAGTGTAGTGCAATGTAGTGGTAGTTGTAGTGTAGTCTAGTGTAGTGTACTGAAATTTAGTGTAGTTGTAGTTGTAGTGTATTGTAATCCGTGTAGTGTAGCGTAGTGCAATGTAGTGGTAGTTGTAGTAGTAGTTGCAGTTGCAGTTGTAGATGCAGTGTAATGTAATTAGTGTAGTGTAGTGTAGTGTTGTGTAATGTGTAATGTAGTGTAGTAGTTGTAATCGCATGTATATTTGTAATTGTAGCGTGCTGCAGTGTAATCAGTGCAGTGCAGTGTAATGTAGTGTAGTTGTAATAATAGTAGTAGTAGTAGTAGTTTTAATAACAATAGTAGTAGTAGTAGTAGTAGTAGCAGTAGTAGTAGTAGTAGTAGTAGGAGTAGGAGTAGTAGTAGTAGTAGTAGTAGTAGTAGTAGTAGTAGTAGTAGTATGTAGTAGTATATAGTAGTAGTATATAGTAGTATATAGTAGTATATAGTAGTATATAGTAGTATATAGTAGTATATAGTAGTATATAGTAGTATATAGTAGTATTTAGTAGTATATAGTAGTATATAGTAGTATATAGTAGTATATAGTAGTATATAGTAGTATATAGTAGTATATAGTAGTATATAGTAGTATATAGTAGTATATAGAAGTATATAGTAGTATATAGTAGTATATAGTAGTATATAGTAGTATATAGTAGTATATAGTAGTATATAGTAGTATATAGTAGTATATAGTAGTATGTAGTAGT